TCAAGATCAGTGAAAACTCTAGCCTTCACTCTTGGTGTGCTCAGCGTCTCCCAGAGTTGTGTCAGCCACAAACATTGCACATATTTTTTTTTCCCCCAGAGGAATAATATTAATTAAAAAAAACCCCTGAGTAGTACAAGAAAAGTCTTTTGTAGAACATCTCTCACAAGATATTCTATTTTGATATTAAACAATTTTTAAGTATCCCTTGATATAATTTTTCAAGAGTTTTGCAGCCACCTAACATCTTCTAAACCAGGAAATCCCAAGTTACTTGTAAGATTGACATGTGAGAGTGTAAAAAATCTTACTAAGGTCAAGAACAACTTCTGCTCCTACTATCCCTCTCCTACAATACATCTAATTTATGTCAATTCCTTCGCTCAGCAAACCTACTTTAAGAAGATAGGATTACTTAAGTCAAGTAAAGAAATGAGTCCTGTCTCCTGCTGTTGTAGATATTAGGATTCTGAGACAAAGAGTTGTTCCAAGTAGAAGTGTTTGGCTTTTTAGACAGAAAGTCCATCATGCTGTACCTTCTGGACTCCAGTATCTTGGCTGTGCAGTGCCTGAGGAGAAGTTGTGAGTTTGTATGGGATGGTGCTTATTTTGACAAGAATCTGTACAAGATACATATTTCCTTTGCTCTATTAGCTTCACCTTACCTTATTTGGCTATGAGAGAAAAGCATTTGAAAAACAAATCCCCATTTTTCCAAAGAATAAGCCCAGTTTTAGAGGTGATGGTGAGAAAGATGTTAACATCTGGTTCATCTGGCTCTTGCTTCAGTTGCTTTCGGTTATGGGCATTCAATCAATTTTTCCCATTGTTTAGTTCACTTCTCATTCTGATTTCCTTTGCACATTACAAACAAAAAGGGGGAAAAAGGGGGCTAGCAAATAGCAAACAAAAAGAAAACAATATTTTTAATTAAGGGTATATAAAACCTTTTTGGTGTTTATACACCAAAATGGAAGCATTTGAGAAACAAATATACCAGTATAAATGTATATTGAGTGTAACTTGCTGATGGATTGTGACTTGCTGAGTCAGCTTGTTAATGCACCAAACCAAACAATTCTGTCCTTGGTGTCCCTTTAGAAAATGCATAATAATTGAAATATAGGGTTTTATTTCTATACCTGCAAAACCAGTAGAAAAGATCAGTGCTCTTCAGGACTCAATAACTTTTTCCCAGTGACAAGGAAGAATTCTCCTTTGCTGGTTCTAACTGGACACTGGTAACCACTGGGAGATACCAGATTTTCTAGTGACATTTTCAGAAATAATGGAAGAAAATCAAGAGGACTAGCAAAGCAATTTATAAACAAACTTGCAAAACACTTTTGAAACCCGTCTGCTGCTGTAGTGAATTTAGAAGAACAAAAAATTATGCCTTGGAATTAAGCCTACACAATTCTTCTTTACTAAGTAAAACCAAATATCCATTTTTAGGTTCTATACCTTTCCTTTTTCTTCCTTTTTTTCAAGTACTTATATTTTATTAAATATAGTACAGCTAATAATATCTGTATGCAACAGGACGAGGACTAAGCTGTATCCCTATCCTTCTGACTTTGTTAACTGCATAGCATGCTTAAAATTTATAGCAATCAATGAGGCATTACTGACTAGTACTAGATAGAGAGAATTGACTGAGTTCAGATGTTTATAGTGTTGGAACTGAGCCTTACTTAGTTCAGATTCCTTAAATTTATTCCAAGTCAAATGCCTCATGTTTTTTTTCAGCTATGATTGATAGTAAAATAGATGTAGCATTTTATTTTTAGCCTTTCCCCTCAGATACACATGCTTTTGAAAATATTTGTGTCTTTTTTCCTCTGATCCCACTTTATTCAAATGTAGTGGTAAGCAACTGAGCTTTTCTGACCCTTTGCCATGATTTCAACCTGAAGTCTGTATTTACAGTGTGGCCACAAGTCAAGCACAGTTGCTGATTCCCTTTGACTGTTTTGCAGGTGTTGTTGTTCATGGCGTCAGCCTTTCTGGCGTAGCACATACCACTCTGGAGCTTCACCCATAAATGCTGGTGTTAAGCACTTGCTAATCTATTCTAGGGATTTTACTCTATAATCTTTAAAATGTTCAGTTGTGTAAAATGTTAGATGAGTCATGAGACATTAGGAAACCCTGAAGACATCACACTGGATTAGAGCAGAAATCCTTCATAGTCACCATTCCCTTGACAGAAGCCCATATCAGATCATTCAAAGCAAAGTGTAGTAGATGGTGGTCAGTTGTCCGGGGCAGCTGCTACCTTCTGCCTCCCTTAAGTGGAACACAATTTATTCCTTGAAATACAAGTATTAATATTGATTTCAAACCTTTAGACTTTTTCTTCTTTTTAATAAAGGACCTGCCTTTGTCTGTAACCTGCAGTTATTCTCCTCCTTCTCTCAGTCCTACAAGCTCTTTAATTTGATGTTATTCCTGTATTATTTTAGCAGAAATTTCTTTTCATTGCATTCAAACTAACTTCATTTCAGTGTCATGAAAACTCTTGGTCACAGCTATTCAGCTCTCCTAAATAAATTACTTTCTAGTATTGTGTGTTATTTTTTATCTTGAGTAAGTCTGTTCTTTTTAATGTCCAGTACAAGTTCAGTATGGCAATCTCTTCTGTGCCTCTTCTCATTGTGCTACTGAATCCCACTGCATTTCTTCTATCTTTGCATTAAATCAGTGCTGCCCAGTCTTCCTCCTCTCCATTGTTCTTCTTCTCAAGAACTCCTCAAACCCAAGCACGGTACCAGCTGGCTCAGGGTTTCCTCAATCCTTCTCCCATCCCTTGACCAGATGTGTGCCTGTATGTCTTGCCCAATAAAAAGGAATCTGTTCCTGACACAAGTCTTTATCTAGCTCTGAACCTGCTACTGAGACCACAAAGAAAGACTGTCCCTACCAACAGACTTCAGGTTGGATGAATTTCACAAGTGAACCACAAACATCTCAGAGGGGTTGCAGGGACTGTAGATTGAGTCAATTTTTTTAGGCAGAATACTCGGATATGATCCTGACATGACAGGTTCACTATTGTTTTATACAGCTGAAATGCAAGCTTTTCAGTAATATGTCTGTCTTTCTTTAGAGGAACATGGAAGTAGGATGTTTTGTACATGGCTTGGGAAGGAGAGCTCATTGCAACCTTGTGTTAGTCATCGCTAGATACAAAAATCAGCATGATTAAAATAAAAAGGGAATTCTCTTACTCCCATCAATGTCACTGTTCAATGTGATTTAAAATGAGTTTACAAATCAGGCTGGAGACCAGGAAGATAAATGATTACAGTTAGCTGATGTTTTCACATTGTCCCAATGGTACAGGAATGGGGCCCAGAGTGGCTCCCTGCCCGGGCCAGGAAGATGTGCCCTGCAGCTGGTGGTCACCCGCTGGCACACACAGCCACTGCACGCTCTCTGCATGAGTGAGCTCCGCAGGCAGCTGTAGCTAGACATCAGCTCCAAAAAAAGAGCTCAGCTCCTGAACTTACAGCCTTCCTTACACCAGAAGATGAGATAAAATTGCATTACAGCATTCGAGATCTGCCGTCTGTCCTGCACCTGCAGGAGGTATTGCCAGAGGCTTAATGGGCAGTCCAGCATTCCTGCTTGCCATCATTGCTGCTGTGCTTGTCACCTGGGTTGTAGCTCAGATTTTGTTCCTGAGGCTGTGCCGGAGTATGTCTCACAGTGCAGACCTTAAAAAGAGGGACATGGTCCACCCTGCACAGTACAAATGGCTACTAATAAACTACTTCCTCTCTCTCTAAATATTCATGGCTTGTTTACCTTGTCAGACTATGGCAGAATCCATAAAAGTAAGTGGGGAACAAAAAGGCAAAGCATCTCAGGGTAGGATGTTTGAGGAGAGGAATACAACAAGTGAGGAGGTTTTACCTGGTATGTGATGCTGGGGCATCTGTAGACATCATGATGAAGGAGGGTTAAAATGGTTCATTTTACTTTTGAAAGTATTTTACAGTATTTTGTTTTACTTTCCCTTTGAATGGATACAAGATTGCCTGCTGCTTGGAAATGACAATTGAACAAGTACATTTGTTTAAACCCAGTCTGGGATAACTGGAAATTTTTAATTGACCACAGGAAGCTTAGGCACCAGATTTTGTTCTGGCATTTACTATACATGGAGAATAGACTTCACAGTCTACTCCTATAACTATTCCATAAGAACCAGTGCAATGCAACTCAAAAATAGTAAAAGTTAAAAATTACCTCAGAGTGCAATTCACAAATAACCTCCAGGATTGGGCTCAAAAAGAGAAAGTATTTGCAGACTTTCAGCAACAGATGCCTTTGGGACATGTCATTTGATATCTATAACTCTCCAGAATAATTAGAGTCTTTGTGCCAGGCATCACAGATACTCTAGGTAAAAGTCCATCATGTTTGAGAACAACTTGAGCCTTTGTCCAAGTGGTCAGGTATGCTGAGGGTGTCCACAGCTCTCTGGTACTGTGATTCCAGGGACAATCTATGGCAAAGACTCCTATGATGATAACTGTTGCAAATAGAACTGGTTTGAGGTTGGTGTAATCTCCCCAGGTTTGAACACTGACCTTTTAAACCTGTGCACAAAATAGATCAAATTAACTCCACTGTTTGATAGAAGACAAGTCCTTTCTTTTCAGATCTGATGGTAATTTTGTGTAACACAAATCATAGTGTTTTGCTTATCACCTGAGGTACAGATAATTGTACAAATAAGAAAATGAAAGCACCCCCTTAGCAAGGAGTTGCAGTAAAGGGTCTAGACAACTCTGACTTAGAGAGGTCTTCAGTTGAGAATGTACCAATAAAGTGGTGAGAACTGCAGACAACACCTCAGCAAAGAGTTTTTAGTGAGTGAGAAAAGGGACTGCAACCTGTGCCCTCAGTGTAACAGGGTGTCTCATCTACCTGCATGATCCCTGCAGCAATTGCTCCCATACACACCCCTCGGTGGCATGTTTTTCAGCGCCATGGAGTCACTCAGTGACTCCACGGCAGGTGAGCTGTGAGGGCCCTGAAGGCATCACCTCGGCTGGGGCTCGGCTGCCTGCCCTCACTTGGGCCACCAACCCTCCTCGGCTTTTGTGCGTCTGGGTGGGACAAGCGAGGAACCAGAGCGTGTGGAGCTCAGGCCATGTAGAAATGCTTCTCAGGCACCATTCAGTATGTTGGTTCATCCTCACCAGGGATTCAGGGCAGACCCTGCTCCGCACTGTCCAAGGAGAGCTGAAAAATCCCTGCAGGGATTCAGAGCATTCCTGGTCAGGAGAAGTTTGCAACTCTCTTCTGGAGGCTGGCCAGGGTTACAGGGGATGAGCCAGGGCATTCAGATAGTGCCCCAGCATGGGAAGGACACAGTTGGTTTATGGCCAGCACTTGTCTTAGAGGGGAAGGGCACCGCATCACCCCTGCCTGCCATTGCAACCTTTCCGATTCCTAGCCCCTTGTTCATCCCAGTTAGACCCCGAAGAGGCCCTCTTGGCAGAGGGCTAGCTGGACAGACACAGCAGGAGACTGGTGACCCCCAGGCTTACAGGCAGCCAGGTGCCCCTCATTCTTAGCACCAGATCTGAGCCCTTGACCCAGTTGCCCCAGGTGTAAAACACCACAAGTTTCCTGACTAGAAAACATGAGCTGCTGCTGTCTGACCTATTGTATCTAGGCCCTGTAGAGGAGAAGACACAGCAGGAGCATAAGCATCTCCAAATGACAAGCTGTTGGAGGACTGAGAGCCCACTCTTAATGGAGTGTGATAACACTTGTGAGAAAATTTTCACCTTCTGTGGAAAGAAGAGCAAACCTATAGTTTCCCTTGGTTTAAGTGAGAGTCTCTGGAATTTTCCAGAAGCAGGACTTGAGCAAGAAATTTCATGCAATGTCAGATTATTTTATCTGTAAAACCTGTTGTTCTAGAAAAAAAATGATGGAGAAGAAAATGAATAATTCAGTGTTCACTCATTTAAAAAGAAGCTGTTGGCAATGGTTTAGTCAGATGCAGTGCCTTTGGCCAATAAAGATGATAAAGGAATAATGAATTAGTCATCAATACTGCACTGAAAGAAAAAGGTTGAATTTGTCATTGGACTAAATCCAAAAGGCCAGATTTGTTACGTTATTTTAAAATGGTGGCCTTCAGTCCCCATTATATTTTCACACTGCAAAATAATTCCAGCAGAGATGCAGACTCTTCCATGGAACGTTTAAACCTATTAAATGTCCCTGTTTTATCTCTGTTGCTTTTTCAACCCCAGAAGGAACAGTTTTTGTACCCTCAAGTAGCCATGTAGTACCACCCAACAAGCTGTATTAAAATAACTACTTAGGGCATTGTTCTGTTACAGGGAACTGAATCTGGTCTCTGGATTTACAGACCCACAGAGATTTCCCTGGAGAACTTGTTCCACAACAAAGATTCTTGGATGAAATCCTGACTTGGATTGTCCAAACTGCTATGAGGCAGGATTACAGTGATGCCAGGATTTCAATTCCCCAACAACAACAGAAAAGAGCTGGTGCCTCCTGGCTACCCTGCCATTGTACTTATACCTTGCACGTAGGTTCTTTCTGTCCTGTGTCCACCACATCCATATTAGGTAGGTCTTTGGCCTGCAATAGTAGCATCAGGAAGCATCATGGAAACAATCAGCTTTGCTGGGAGCTGACAAAAACTTCTGTTTGCATCAGCTGTAAAAATTCAGAGACTCTTACACGTAACTTAAATGTAACTTAAATGCTACTTAAATGTAATGTTTTGACAAAAGATAAAGCAATGCCAGTCCCTCTCAAATCTGCTACATAAATTCCCCTCCTAAACTCATTTTGTGTGGTTTGGCATTATTCCCTCTTCCATACAGTCTGCTTTTTCCAAGCCTCTCTTTGCAAGTTTCACACTTTTTCTCATAAGTTTTCAGTCCAATTTTGCTAAATCTGGCTTTGCCTACTCATAACTACAGCATCACATTCTAAAGGGGCAAAACCAATGATTATTAGTAACACAGTTCCAAAGAGCATTCCTCTCTATACTGTAATAAATATGACAAATGTGATATCACTATCTGAGAAATATTTTACGACTTAGGTTTTATGGTATTTAGAAATATTTATCACTTCTGCATCACAGCTGCCTTAATTGCTGGAAATCTATTTTACCTTGCTTTGGAAAATAATGAATGAAACATGTTCCTGCTTGTACTCTGCTTACTCCCTTTCAGATATGCTTAGTATGACTTAATCTAGATTTACAATGTTATGACATTTTATGCCTCAGCTTGCTTAAGTTGATGTTGGCAACATGGGATGTGAATTACTTATCAACAATGCTTATATACTAATATGATGAGCACAATCCAAAGCCCAAGAAGGCAAAAGAAAGAAATTAGGAGTGTAGATTTTACCACTTACAGAACTTAATTGGCCAGTTAAGAAAATACCTACTGAATATAACTTCTCTGTTTCACTCTTCCAAGGATGATATGAATTGTTCAAAGTGTCAAGAGGGATAATCCCGCCTGAAACAAACATATATGAAAGTTAAAACTCTACAAGTACCAATTATTTGCTCACACACATGTTAATGCTAATGTTAGCATAGTTTTTGTCTAAGGAAGACCTAGGTGCTGAAGTTGCATGGGAATCTTTGTGTTCAGCATATTAAACTTAGGGATTTAGCTTTTCTTATTTTAAAGAAGCACTTGAAAGCATGGAGGGGAGATGGGGACTGGAGGAAAAACAGCTCCCCAAGCAGCCAAAAATGTTGCTTTGCCTCTGCGTCAAAGTGTCTGAGCAGAGCAGGACAAGGCTGCTGTGTGCTGGAGATGAGTGGAAGTCTCTGAATGGAGTGGGAGAGGCTGAGAAAGGGGATTACATCTTAGACTATACACTGCAGGGGATGAGAGTGCCAGAGGGGTCTCAACACTGTCTTCAACTCCATCTGCCACCATGTGCTAAAGCCTTCAGGGATTGGTCCCTGTAGATGGATCAGAAATGTTTTCTCCATAACAAAGCTCCTCCACGATGCTTGTGGCATAGTAATGCCCATTTAGAGAATCAATATTGCAGTTGGTACTGCCCCTCACAAACATTGATGATGTTTGAACATCATTGTGCCCATGAGCCTCCACAGCATCCTTCACCTGGCCCACCAGAGCTTTACATCAAGATCTTAAAATGAAAATGCTGTTAGTGGGCACAAATTCCTCATTTTCATCAACAAGGGAGGAGGAAGGTACAGAAACATTCTCAAAGCTTCAGTGAATATGGATGAGTTTTCTAACTTCCCAGTTTGTATGTAGTCCTGAAGGACAGGAAAAAGATGGGTATCTGTAGCATTTCATGTTCCAATTAATCGCCGATCTTATATTTTTGCAGTTGTTTTCATTTTTTAATCTTTGTTAACCTCTTTTCTGTTTTGTGTTTTGTTCAAGTTTTTTTCCCTATTACAGAGAAATTGCAAATACAATGTTATCATGAGCAATATGCTGACTTTGTTTTCTTATCTACCTTAGGACATTTATTTACCCTTTCTTCACTAGAGGCAGACCTTTCCCACTGCAGTTGCTTTTCTTTGGCATGTTATTCTGTATCTATAATGGCTTCCTCCAGGGGTACTACCTGATTTACTGTGCTGAATATCCAAACGACTGGTGCACCGACATCAGATTTACATCAGGTAATTACAGCTGCAGGATTACAAAGATCTAATCTCCAAGCAATTTGTAAGCATTTTGAATTATGTTCTAATCTTCACTGAACATGTGAGTCAAATCTGTTGTGATGGAAATCAGCCTAAGACCTGCCTGCTGGCCCAGATAAAACAAATAAATGTGACTTTTTTTTGCTGCTAGCCAGCCACTTTAGAAGATGTACGATGTTGTGCATTAGTCTCAAATCACAAGCCTTCTTTTACTGACACCACTCCAGAGCCTTCTGCTGCTATGGGCTGTGGAGATGCAATCTCAGGCCCCAGTTGCACAGGGATGTACCCTTGCTCAGCCAGAAGTGTCCACCCAGCAGTGATTGTGCGTGAGTGCAAGCTGTGACTTTCTCTTCCCTGCCAGGGAGCTTTGCACTTGATGCAGTTATTCTGACTGAGAGATAAAAGAAGGGCAAAACCCCAGCATGAATGAGGCTTTAAGGACAAAGGGCTCTTTTTTCTTGTGTGAGGCACAGGAGAAGATTAGAGATCACGCACAGTCTGGTTGTACGCTAATACAATTCCTTTATATTTTGTAACTTAATAGCTTAGCTGAATTTCCCCTTGTAAAATCCTTCAGAGAATAACTGAACAAGAGTAGCTAGATGGCATTACAGATTTGGTGCTGCACAGAGCAGTGTTTTTTAAATGTAAACATAGAAATGAAGATTAATGTAGAGGTCTGAGAAAATATTTTGGATATGGTAAATACAAACTAACCAAGGTACTTCCTGTACCCTGTTTCAGACTGTGGATGCAAATTCAGTCTTTTCAGACAGCATCATGTATTAAAAATTCTGGACATTGTTTAGTGAGAGCTCCCATACCCAATAAAGAAAATGCCACATCACTTAATTTTTATGATAAATAAAATATATATTTAATGGGGGGGGGAAGAAAATAAGCATCAGTAATACTTGAAATATTAAATAGAAAACAAACAGTATATTCTCATCTACAGATTGTTGCTACTGGAAGTGTTGAGGTTTTATCAGCATTTAGCCTTTTTCCTATACTTCATAGCACACACACCACCTCTATTACTTTCCTCACTTTCCAGTCATTGTCAGAGGTGGTTTTCTCAGTGTCTAATGTAGCACAAAATGTAGGGCAGGTCATCTGCAGAGTTTCTCAACCAAATGCCTCTAGTTTTTCAGCTAAATGGAATATGATTAAAGGATCACTCTGGCCAGAAACTGTCAGCATCCTTCAGGGAGTACCTGCTCTCTGTGCATGCCTTACTCTGTCCAAGCAGCCTCACTGGCAGCAGACTGAGTGGTGCTGAGATGTAGGTTCCCTTCCTGGATTCAGGGATGTGCTGGATAAGTTTGTGTCTCTGTGTTCCTCTTCCCCAGCAGTAAAATGAGAGTCTAGGTACTTGTCTACCTAGCTCAGTGGTTACTCTACAGCTATGTCCACAGCCCTGTCTGGCTGTCATCAGTCAGTTAGCGTCAGCTGGGTACTTTGTGTCTCCCCTTGAATGTTCAATAAATAGTGACAATGGCCACCTGGGAAGTTCAGCTTTTTCTCATATTAGCTGTAAGTGCTCTGGTGTCACCAGTCATCTATGCTTCTCCTGTTCACCAGCCTTCTTGGTAGCAGCACATCTTTTGACTTGAGAAAGAATCCACCCACATCATGTTGGGACCCCTATCTGCCTGCTGCAAAGTTAAACCCCACGTTTGTGCTTGAGTAGGAATGACTAGACAGAGCTGTCTTTCTAATCCATTTCTTGTTGGTTCCTTAGGCCTCCTCTTATTTCTGCTGGGAATGGGAATCAACATTCACAGTGATCTCCTGCTGCGCCAGCTGAGGAAACCTGGAGAAGTCACTTACAAGATTCCTCAAGGTATATTCTTGTCCCCTACATCCTTGAAGAAAGTAGGGCAGCAGGATAATGTTTTCTGACTGAATTCACTGGAAAGCGACAGTAGTGTCAGAAGTGCTGGTATCACACAGGTACTCAGTTCAGGTGTCCCTCTAAGCTGCAGGGACCAGCATGAGCTGGCTGCAGACAGTCCAAGAGAAGCAGCAAGACTATCTGGAAAATGTGAACTGTGAGGACAGGTTTTTGGAAATGGGCTGGGTAATTTAAAGAAGATTGAAGTGGGAAATAGGAAGAGGATTTTAGCTTTGTAAAAGGCAGCTGTAAAGATGTAAATAGGTCTTTTCCATACCCAAGAAGAAGTAGCAGACTTCTTACACTGCAAAAAGGAGATTCGAAGTGTAAATTTTAGGGGGAAAAAATAACACCAAGGATGCAAGGTGCTGAATTGCCTTTCCTAAGAAATGTAGAGCAATATGGATGGGGACCCAAGACTTTCTTCGTTTTGGTGTTGACTCCTTCTGCTGCCTTGTTATAGATGGTAATATCTCTCCCCTGGAGTTTCTCACCTCCAACACTTACCTGTCTCTTGTAAATGTTGTGAAAAACTGAGATCTCCAATGGCAGTGAATTTGCAAAATATTTTTAGGGTATGAAAAGAATTGACTAATGTTAATAATTTTAATTTAAAGCTAATAATGGGCTTTCTTAAGTTATTTGCTAAATGAAAATAAATGATTGTGAAAATGCTGGAAGCCTCTGGGTCAGAATTACCTTTGAATTCTTTGATTCTTGTGTTTATACAAGAGTCCAGTACAAAATCCCCCTTTGGCATGGTTCCACTGGCTTCAGGGAAGCGGGTTTGGGTTGCTGTTATAGACCTTGAATAAGAAAGGGAATGTGTTTTGCTGCTGACTTTATGGGAAATAATTTTCCATGTGCAGGAGATGACTAAAAGAATTAAATATTTTGTCTCTTAATACAGGGGGACTGTTCACCTATGTTTCTGGAGCCAACTACTTTGGAGAAATTGTGGAATGGTTTGGTTTTGCCATAGCAACCTGGTCCCTTCCAGCCTTTGCCTTTGCCTTTTTCACTCTTTGCTGTATTGGGCCACGGGCTTATCACCATCACAGGTATCAAAGTGTTCCTTGCTGTACGCTGCTGTTTACACTTAGAGTGCAGTTTGCAAAATATCAGAGAGGAAGCAGAGCCAGGATTCAGGATAAAACTGAAATTTAATACCATGTACAAGAAGTGTATTGGCCTATTTGTGACTGGGTGGAGCCCCTGTCATATGGGCCAGACAGTCATTTAATCCAACATGAGTTGCATCACTGCTTCTGCCGTGTTAAAGCCTCTTTTTACTGAGCCTCGTAAATGTGAGCTTTTCCTAAGGGTTCTCTTGCAACCTCTGCAGTCCTTTGGAGTAGATATGGTCCCTTGCTCTGAATTCCTGAAGTTTCTACTTTAGGTCTGTTGGAACCTTAGCAGTATTATCAGCTTTCACTTAGTTAAATAAACTGGTGTAAATAGTCTTGGAACGCTCTCTTGCAGAGTAACGCACCAAAATAGCAAAGCAAGTCAGTTTGGAAGAGTTTTAAGTTTCCTCAGCTCAGATGGATTAAAACTGTGCAGTTTCCCTGTATGTATGCAGGTTCACTCTCTTGCTTATTTTCTTTCAGGTACTATCTCAAGACATTTACGGACTATCCAAAATCAAGGAAAGCCTTGATTCCTTTTGTTTTTTAATGACTGAATTATGGACTCTTTTTTTGGTTTTTGTAGGAATTTTTTTTTCAATTCCTGGTTTTAATGTTAGGTCTGACTACAATTTTACAAATGATAATCTGAGGTTGCAACAGAAAAGAAGGTAATTTGGAATGGAAATTCTTGTGTTTAACTCCGGGGTAAATTGCAGATAGTTGTGGGCACAGGGACTTCCCAAACAACGTATTTGCTTGTCGGTGGAGTTCTACCTATGGAAAACGAATATATAACTACACTGACATCACAGAAAAAACACTGTCTAAATACTGATGAAGAAAAGTAGAATGTAAACCCATTACTTTGGAGAAAGTGTTCAGCAGCCACTCCAGTTTATAGCACTTCTGCAACTGCTTCTTCCTGCCTCCGTGCTGCAGTACACGTGCCCTCGCTCTGCCGGCAGTGCCCTACATGTTGTCACACTTTAAACCAGAGTAGGGATCTCCTTTGCCCGAAAAATTACTCAGCCCATTATTTTTCATCAAAAAGCCAGCTTAGCTCCCAGAAACATAATGTTACAAGAGAGTACTTGTGCTGGCACCAGGCTGGGAGCAGTATGCCATGGCACAGAGGTGATGTTAAGTACACAGAGATGGAAGCTGGCACTCACAAGCACAATGTCTGTGTTCCTTCCTTAAGCAATACTCTCCTCACCGTCAGATGATTAATCTTCAGCCACCAGGGTTTGTTTTTTAAATGTACTTCATTATAGCAATTGTAGCTCCATTAGGATTTTTTTTTCTCCTGCAAATCCAGATCTCTTTTCAGAATAAAAATTTTTCCACTCAAAAACACTCAGTTGTTGTGCTGAGTGACCTGAGATGGTGACTTGAGATGCTGGTGTATGACAAAAATGACAACAAATAAGAAGTTCTGTGTTAAAGAAAATGTTCTCTGACACTGGTAGTACATTTTGTCTACGGAAAACATTTTCAGATATGCTTATTAGGAAATTATGCAGAGATATTACTGAATTTTCACAAAAGCACAAAATGTCTCTTCTTAATTTCAGAATACAGTAAGGAATATTAAAAAAAATGTCATTAACCCCCTTTAGGCAGAGATGTCCTCATGGATGATTTTAGTTATCCTTCAGATCACAAAATCCTGCTAAGAATTATGCTGAGCAGCTGAAAATAAAAAAGAGCAGACTGCACACATGAAACATACTACCTGCTGCTGGAGTAACCTGATTGATTGTATGCAATTTCCTCCAAAACACAATAAAATTTATGTAAAACACAGAGCTGTGCTAGCCTATAACTTACTGTTTGCAGAAACAAGTCTCTGCAATATTGCTTACCAAGCCTGCTCACACTAGCTTGCTCCTACTGGGCAAACCCTCCCTTCTTTGCTCATGTTATTAATTCTCTTCATCTCCACAGAGCAGAGTAGCCAGCTGAGAGTGAGAGCCATTGCACAGTCCCTCTACAGCCCACCAGAGAACTGGACCCTTTGCCCTGTGTAGGCAAAGGGAATGGAGGGACAAAATAAGATGCAAGCAGAATTGTTGTTGCATGGGATCAGAGTTCCACATTAGCACCATAACTATATTTTTCTCTGGTTTCCTTATTTAAAGCAAGGCTGAAGGCAACAAAGATACCCGTTTGGAGGGAATGGCCTCTTCCCTAGGGAACGGACATTAGGTGCGAGCAGCAGCCGTGCTCCCCAGAGCTCCCTGCCTTGATGGTTCCTCCTTGCAATTTTTACCTCCAAAGCCTTGCAAATTATGAGAGAGCAAGTAGTCCATGAGTGCCAGTGTTCCTAGCTGCTCTCTCCTCCATCTATTTCTAAGCCAGGGGGAGAGCAGGGACCAAGCTCTGTCTCGCTCTTTGGACCAGAACAGAACTTGAGCAAACTTTTCTGTCCTTCCTAACTGCTTCTCACATCAGAACAGGACTATCCTCTGCATTTATTTTGGTTTGCTTAATATGTGCAACAGATGGAACATTATTGCCATTGTAAGTCCCAGATATCCACTGCAAGGAGTCGGGGATCAGGGTGGGAGAACTGGTGCTGACCCAAGGTGGGAGATAGTCTGCCTACAGTCTAGGGGGGCCCACAACCTGGCACCCCTACACTGGCTGAGCACAGGGTACCTTGAGGTGGTGAATGCCTTGCAGGAACAACTCCACCCTCTCTATCATGGGTCTTAGACATGTAACACGGAAAAGGGTTGCAGGTAGGAAAGGAGCACAACTTCCTACTGCCCATTCCTGTGGCATTTTTGGACAGCACACACATGTGCTTTAAACCCCCTACAGGCACTGACTGTGGTTAATCATGATGGAGAGGAGACATAGGTTCTCCCCACGTCAAGTTCCCTTGTGGGGCTGGTGGCAGCTGCCCTCCCTGCAAGGACACCAGCCTGTCCCACTGTGCACAGGAATGCAGCACACCTGGGACCACAATGCTCCTGAGAAATTTCTTTCATTACCCCTTACTTCTATAAGGAAAAAGATATTCCCCTTGCCTGTGGGAGAAAAAAAGCAGCAGACATTTTCATATCCGTCTGCTCAAGCCTCTGGAGGCTATGTACACATATGATTTCAGAGATGACTGTAAATTGTTTTGTAAAGCAGCACTTCTCTGATTTTCTTTGCAATGTCCTTTCGTCTGTCAAAACCAAACAAATGTGTCCTCTGCTGGTAAGCATTTAAAATAATAGATCATTCCTTTTCTCTCCCTTTTGTAACACTGTTTTTCTGTTTGGTTTCCTCCCACCATTCACATTTTAGTTTTCATGTATCTCTGAGGAGCATTTATGTTTGGGTCCTGTTCGCCTGGAGAGAGAGTCTTGCTCAGAACAGCTCTGAGTGTCGCTGCTCTGCTAGAAAGACCTCTCTTACGCAAAGCTGATTACCCAGCCTTCATCCCTGCAGGCAGTCTGCTGGGAAAATGCATCCTTTATGCCCAGGACTCTTGTTAATTTAATTAATTTTGTGTTGTTTGAGTGTTTTTTTCAAAAGCTGACTTTGTACAAACGTGCACAATACTGCTGTGGTAATACACAAATGGCTTAATCATGCATCTGACAGTTTATTCTGTAGAACGTGCTTTCTGCACCTAAGTGATCAGATAGACCACTTATGGATACCAGAATTTAGACATCTAATCTCTTCTGACAACCAAACCCAGAATTAAATGCTGTTCACTGGGAGGCAAAGAGGAGAACAATGGCACTTGCCAGCCCTCATTCACATCGTAGTGTGCCACACACACTTCAGCCTTCGCCTGGCTTTAGTCCACGCTTCAGATGATAGGTCACTCAAGACAATAGAAACCAGCTCCAGACAATGTAGGGCATTTGTAGTTGTTGCTTTAAAGTACATATTTTACATAGTATATTTACACAAAGGGCAACATCCACCTGCTCCCCCCTCCCCCCATTTTGGCCCTTGAGTGACTATCTTCAGGACAAGCACTTATCTGGGAGCTGCACTCCTGCTCCCATTACTCTCCTGGAATACAGAGTCTCATGCTTGTACAGAAGCTCTGAATGTTTCTGCAGAAATATCAAACCGTGGTGTGTCCTGAAACCACAAATACTGAGGAACTCTCCCTAAGTAGGCAGAGTGCTCCAATGGTTTAGTCTCAAGAATATCTGTTTTGTGTTCTTGACTGTGTCACTGATTGACTGACAAACTCCATCAAGTTACTCACCACTTTTGGGGTCCAGCAGTGTCATTCCCAGAACCTGAGTTATCCTGTTTGAACACTTCTCATATCAGCTCTGGTATCAAAGGCACTTGTCAGGTTGCTTTCCAGTCTACTTGCCTACCTTTCCCAAGTTTGCCATGTGAGATTACACATAATACTGTCACAGCCACACTTCCCTACTACACCAAATACGCTATGTCTGTTCAGGCTGAATTTGTCCCCATCTGGCAGTGTTGCCGCCAGGAGGAAAGGCCTTTCCTTGTATGGAGATATGTTGCATTTTTATGCTGTGTGGTAAAAGATGAGGAGACTGCCAAGGGGTACATTTCAATGAGTTCACAACAGCCTTGCCTGGGCCTGAACCGAGTTTGGGTGGGGTTGGTTTGCCCTGCCTGACCAAGTGGTAGGAGGGGGAGCAGCTCCATGAGCCTGTAGTGCCCCCATTCTGTTCCCACCAGACCTCAGGAGCTGGTCATGAGCTCCCCATGCCCATAGGGCACTGGATATCACAAATGTGAAGGGGAACTCAGCTTTCTGGCAACCCTGGGAGAGTCCTCTTCTGCATCCTCATCCTCATCTTTTTCATCCGCAGCCTCATAGTAGGGGGCTGTCACACCTTGGGATATTACACCACAGCAAAGCCCTCCTCACCCAGTGCAGTCCTGAAAGAATTTGTTTTCTGTGATGGAAACTCCTGAACTGACTCTCATCTCCCTGGCAAGAGAGCAGCTTGCAGATGATTTGAAAATCTGCCTCTGCCAAAATAGTATCTCTGCCATTTGACCAGAAAATCTGTGTTTCAGATCTCTGCAGGAACAGAAACTCTGTCCTTTCACCAGTTACAAACTTGGAAGACATTTAAGTAGAGAAAACCAATAAAATTATGTTTGCAGTGGATTTCTAAAGATGTGGGAAGCTGGCTCTGGCAGGTCTACAGGCAATTTTAAAATACCAACAAACATCACTCTTGTCATAAAAAGCTGGAATTAAAGTGCATTTGCATCAGTGGAGTCCCCTGATCTAAATCCTCTCTTCCCTCTGCTGGTAATGTATATCTGGCACTCTGGTAGTAAATAGGAAAATGTATGTTTCAGCACTGAATGTACTAATCCTGTCTTCTACACAATAGGGTGAAACTTTACCCTCATGCATCCTGGCAGCTTCGCACACTGAGAAATGTTTCTGGGGGTGCTAAGTGAGCTATGCCAGGCAGTCCTCTTACATGTGATACAACTTTGGCTTCACAGCCAGCAAGCCAGAGACTGAGCCCAAGGGGTTACAAGCATATCTGTAGATAAAGTCATCAACAGCATATCTGTAGATAAAGTTCATCAACAAAACTGAGATGAGCACCATAGAGCTGCATAATAACATTGGGCTGAACTCGAGCTTGGCAACCAGCACTTTGCAGAACGTCAAATGGTGAAATTATCCCTGACTTCAGCAAGGCTTTGGTTCCACATGTGTTTTCTCTGTTCAGATGTACTAGTGGCCTGCAGCCAGTGATTTTCAGCACTGTTCCTACCCAGTGTTTGTTAACTCTGGCAATTCAGGCAAGCTTCTTTTCATAAACAATATTGCTGCTTTCCTTCATTTCTGACTGAGGTATTTTTTCACAGGCTAGCAGTTGATGCTGGGATGTGAGTCTCCTGGGACTCTCTGTTGATTGACCAGGGTTCTGTTTAGACCTAGTCTACCTCTGACATATTCCAGACTACATGAATGGGTCCTGGTTAGAAAAGCTACCATGAAAAAGTTTACTAATGGGCTTCCTTTATAAAATGAGGTGGGCTCTGATGCTGCCTCAAATGTACCCATTTGTGCAATGTTGTTTGCATGATGTCTGGATGTTCTTCTAATCCAGACATCATCTGGTTATATCCAACTAATCGTTATCATTAATTTGCAACCAATATTCATTGAAACTGATCCACAGCTTCTGGTCAAGCCCTGTCTTTGCAGAGCAGCTGGTGCCATAGCACTATATCTTAGTTTTTCTAGCTGTGAGTACATCTCATTTGAGTTCTACTGACACTGCATTGCTGCTGCTGCTCAGAGGACATGGAGCAGTGACTGGGAACTGAGTGAACTGGAAGTTGAGAAAATCACAAGAATGGGTTTGATTTTGCCAGGTGCCCTGGGCAACTAGAGAGCTAGAGAGAGAAATAGATCTTAACTGCAGCAGTGGGTCTGCTTGGGCATTGCCCAGGATGTCAGTGAGTGTGTGATGCTTTTGACACCATTCTTCCAACCAGTACACTTTTATTTGGGTGTTTCTGCTGTGCTTAAACTCTGAGAGGAGGAACAGCCAAGGAGGCATGATTCATGGCCATGCT